TGCCGCCACCATAATGGCTATTGAACAACCCTGTTATGAAGTACCCAAGGATTGGTCTAATTGCTTACCTTGGACAAAATTATGGTACAAGTACAACACCACCTTTTATATAGATACAGGAACTACCGCATTTGAAGGGGTATAAGGCAGAAAACCACCAAGTGTGGTTCGATTTGTGCTGGGAGACACTAAGGTGGAAGCTGTAGCCCAGAGAATCACGAGAAGGATGAGGCTTTCTATCAATTAAAATATAATTTAAACAAGGCTCAAGAGCAGATGAAGAAGTATGCACATAAAAGCAGAAAAATGCAAGTTTTCGGGATTGGAGAGTGGGCTTTTCTGAATCTGAACCAACATAGACAACAGTCTGTTTTGCGTAGAATTAATAAAAAACTATCTCCAAAATATTATGGGCCCTTTCAGGTGTTGGAGAAATATAGGGCTGTAACATGCAAACTTCAATTACCTCCTACTTCACATGTTCACAGCTTAAAAAAACAACGGGGAACCACGCAGCTGTGTGAGATGCGAGGGTCATTACATAGAACCAATGTTTTAACAATCAGTCCGTGACCATTTCAAAACACGCTCTGCAACTGTGCAATTGCAGCCATAGTAGCTGCAATTAGATGCAAAAATCAAGGACCGTAACAAAATTGCATCTTAAACCCACAAAAGTTGTATTGTACCCCCAATGAGAATCCTACAGTCAAAATCCGTTCAAATTCTCGCTCTCGGGTTAAAAATAAAATAAAATAATTCACAACTTCAAAAGTAAACAAACCAACAAATTCACAATTTAGAAACCAGTTTGCAACATTGCCAACGGAAAGAAAAAAAGAAAAAAAAAACAGAGATTGCAAGGCACCAAACTAGGACGCTAGGTTACACAAACCAGATCAATTGATTTCACCCACACAGGTCCATTCACGAAACCACACAACAGAACCTATATATATATATATATAAAATAATAAATAAATAAAATAAAAATACCGATCATGTAGGAAATGAGTTTGAGTTCATCCTGAGCCTCTTCGATGAGTTCCTCGACCTGGCCGCAACCGAGGCGTGTCTCGATGGCTTCCCAGTCCTGCTCCTCCTGGCAGACGCTGAGCCTGTGCTTCGTGAAGCTCTCCACCGCCTTGCGGTACCCTTCGTCTTCTGGAACCTTCTCGATCTCCTTCAAAGTCTTGCTGTAGAGCCCTATCAGCACCTCCCTCGCGTTCGGCACCACGTCCAGACCCACGATCCCCGTCGAAGCCTTCACCTTCGCCATCAGCGGCCGCGCCACCGCTCGGAGAAACATCTTCGCTCACTCACTCACTCTCTCGATCTCTCTCACTCCGCGTCTCGCTCTATGATGGTTTTCCGACTCGGAGGGAAGGGGTGGGCTCGATACAATGTGTTCCTTTTGGGCTGCTTCGAAACACTCCTATGGGCCTGTAATTTGGCCCAAAATGGTCCTCAAGTTGAATAGTTCCCAACTTTTGGAGGATTCAAATGTTTTGTTTCTTACATGATATATACACTTCCTTTTTTTTTTATAAGTAAACCTCTTTTTAAAAAAAATAATTAAAATTTTAAAATATTCTTAATTTTTTGTTTTAAATTTTTTAATTTTACATCCACAACATTTAATTTAGTACTTTTTTTCACATATCTTTCCTCCTTTTTTCAATTTTTACATGTACTCCCTTATTTTTCCTTCACCCCACCTATTTTTGTAACATGTAAAAATTGAAAGAGAAAAAAAAAAGTGTGTAAATAAGAAGAAGAAAATAGCAAATTAAAAGTTGAAAGTGTAAAATTAAATATATTTTTTATATATATATATCATGACCCTTGTTTCTTTTGTAATGGTAATGGGATGTTTTATGTTTAAGTTTGTTCTTTCGTTTGATTCAAGTTTAAAACAATCACAAAGATAAAAAAAGAAAGACCATATAAAAATGCTACTGTTAAATTTAAAGTAGTATATTAATTTAAAATTAATGTAATTAAAGTTTTATGATGCCTAATGTGTTACTATATTATATAAGTAATAAAAAAAATTCTTTTTATTTATCAAATTTGTATATGAAAATTTGTTAGAAGAAAATTTTGAATACTATGTTATAAAGATAATTTTTTATCTAAACATTTTTTAATATAATTTTATTAATGTGTTATTTTTTAATATTGTATCAATTTTTAGTATAATAATAATTATCTTCAATAATTAATTTTTAGTGAATTTTTTAATTCTTTTTACTCTAAAACTAAAATAATTTAAAATAATATCATTAATATTTTATGATATCATTGCCGTTTATACATTAATATTATTTTGTTTTTTTTTATAATTATGCAAGTATTTCTAATTGAGCTTAGTTCATTTTATATAGTAATATTATGTTAAAATATTTACATTAAAAATTATTGATATTTTTTAACGTGATTTATTATTTATAAATTCATAATTAACATAATTATTAATAATTTTAATCTTATATTTTATGATATCCATAAAAAAATTATATTAATATTTTATTATATAAATATATTTTTATTTTTATTTTATTCAAAACAAATCATGAATTAAATTATTTATATTTTAAAATTGTATATAACATGATTTTTTTTTAGCTAGAATATATTTACAACTAATATAAATATATTTATACAAATTTTCTAATGTAATAATTAATTTTTATAATTTAATATTTTGTGATACTATTATGGTTTACATTTGTTAATATGTTATTGTATAATTAATGTAATTTTAATTTCATTTGGAAATTGTGTGAATACTCGAGAGTAGTTATAAGAGATTTTTTGGTGGAAAATTTTGGAACAAAGTTTTTTATGGAAGAAATTATTCTCTTATTATTTATAAATTAGTTATTAATATGATTATTAATTATTTAAATTTATTTTACTTTATGTATTGATAAAACTTGTATATTAACTTGTTATTACATAATTAATATAATTTTAATTTTACTCAAAAAAATTCATGAATTAAATTATTTGTATTTTAAAATTGTCCATAACGTGATTTTTTTTTGTTAAAATATATTAAAAAATAATATAAATATATTTATACAAGCTTTTCATGTAATAATTAATTATTTTTATAATTAATGTTTTATGATTCCATTACAATTTTTATTTATTAATGTGTTACTATATAATTAATATAATTTTAATTTTATTGTGAAATTATATGGATACTCAAGAGTTATAGGAGTTTTTTATACAAAATTTTGGAGGAAAGAAATTGTTCCCTTTATATTAATTATAGATTATCTTAAAAATTATATAAATTGTGATTTTTAACTGATTGATTGTGTAAATCCTTTTACATAGATAGGTATAACCACTAAACTTCATTTAAAAGGAGAGAAAAAAAAAAAGGATATATGTTTATCAAACTAAGATATAAAATGATGTTGAAATATAAGCTTATTAAGAAGCGAGTTAAATTGGTGTTAAAAAAATAAACTTTTCTCTTTTTTTTAACATTTTAAAACCAGTTTCTTGATCTTTTAAAATGATTATGTCATATTGATGGATAAAAGATTAATCAATATTTTTGACACCAATAACAATTAATCAATTCAATATTGAGCTTTAAAGATCAAACAAACAAGATTTCAAGACTTAACAAGTAATATTAAGAAATAACAAGATATGAAGATGAAGGGAATAAGAGAATCATACAAGAATTTATGCTAGTTTCCTTTCCTCAAAAAGCTATACCCAGTCTTTTGTAATCAACATAAATTACAGGTTATCCACTATAAGTAAGAATGTAATTACAGACCAGTCAATCAACCCTACATCATAGGCATTCCTATTATCCTCATAAAAACCCTAGACTTATGCAAGATCTTGAAGAAGTGATTGATGTTCTTCCTCTTCAAGCTCTACCTTCAATGTCCTCTTCTTCTCTTAAGGTTCTTCAGTGGAGGATGGCGGAAGCAAGAACAAGCTTCAAAGCTTGAAGCAACAAGGAGGTTCAGTTCTTCCTTGAAGAGGAAGAAGCTTAAGGAACTAAGCACAAAGCTTAAATATTTTATTTTTATGAGTTTTAAAAATGTCAATTTTAAATATATTCCTAATTTTACATTCTTTTATTATTATGTTTTTAGACTAAAAAAGTTATGTAATATCATAATGAGGATTTTTTTTAAGAGTCAACTAAAATTTGGTAATATTCAATTAAGATAATCATGAGTTGTTTAGGAGTCTATCAAATATGGTGATATTCAATTAATATTTTTTTTACTTAAAAAAAGTATATTGTTATTCAAAAATATAGAGATTTCAATTAATTATTTTAAATGTTAAATTTTGTGAGACTTTTTAGTATAATTTACATGTAATTCACTTGTCAAACAATCTCACCTCTTTTCTTTGCTACTTTTACTCTTTCTTTCTTTTTTCTCTCCCTTAAATCTTTTATCCCGCCTTTCTTCCTTCTCTCTTTCTCTTGCCATTATTGCTTCTCTCTCTTGTTTTCTTCTCTATCTCATTTTTTTTTCTTTTTATTTATCTCTTCTACTTCATCATCATCTCATTTTTTTTCTCTATTGAAATCTTTTCTCTTTTCTTTCTTACTTCTCTTTCTCATTCTATAACATCCCAGTTTTCATAATTATATGAAGGTATTTTATAAAAAAAATTTATATTTAGTAGCTTAGAATGAGTCGTTCTCAAACTAGAACGGGCCGTTTCAAACTACTAAAAAGACCTATAACCCTAGTTGGAAACAGATCATTCTGGTTTAAGAACAGACCGTTCCAAATATGGTCGTTATGAGTTAAAACCCAACTCTAGAATGGGCCATTTTGGTTTTAGAACGAACCATTTCAAATGAGAATTTAACACATGATGAAAGGATCCAGAACGAGCCGTTCAAGATTCGAAATGGGCCTTTTTGGCCACTTTTAACATTTATAAATAGCAGACTCTAGCATTACTTCTAGACATACTTTCTGAAGACCAAGGATAACCAAGAGAAGGAGATCAACCAGATTTCACTCTAACTTCGTCTTCTGCTTATCCAAGTAAGGGGATGAGTGAGAAACCTCGTTCGGGGTGTGGGAATAATTGTTGGGTAATAGGATTGACTCCGATCCCTTGCCTGATGCATGCTTCTAGGAACAAACAAAATTTGAATGTTTTTTGTTTTCCCTTCTAATTGATCTGTTGTGATCCTTGCTGGATGTGATGTATGAATATGTGATTAATTTTGAAAATAAACAAGTTTTGATATGAATTAGAGTGCTATGTGGGTTCTTAGGCAAAACCCTATGAGGAGACATTATGAGTATGACTATGTGAAATATGAAACAATGACATGCAAACTGATGTGAATATGAAATAATAAGTGAAATGTTGAGTCGATGAAATAGTGAATGTGTGACATGCATCATGTGCATATATGATTTCAGGTGTGTCGCTTATAAGCCGCATACCAGTGATGTAACAAGCTATGTGATGAAATGATTTATTTCAGGTGTGCTGCTTAGGCCGCATACCAGTGATGTAACAAGCTATTCTAGGTGCACCTTTGGTCACCAGTGATGTATTCATCAATGAACGTGCCCCAGGTATGTTGTTGTAGCAACATACCAATGATGAGAAATGTGAAACTTCCGTATAATGCCACATGCATGCATTTATGAGTCGAGTCCATGACATTATTGCATGATAAGTGAATGTATATGTATTCTAATGTATTTATAACTTGAGAGTTATGCTTGGTTATGTGTAACTTTTGTGGTATTTGTTATGATTGTGTGTGTGTTGCCTAACCTTTATTTATGCACTTGAACTTGAGTGATATGTTTCTTACTCCCTTGTTGTTCTTGTATGTGTTTAAATTCTGTTGTATGTGATCATCAACATGAGGATGTTGGTGATGAGACTTAGGCTTCAGTTGGGCATGCTCTGATAGGATATGTGATATTAGGGCTTAGTTAGGATTAGTATTGGAGTTTCATTACTGTTATTGTGTTTTGGAAAGATTAATGTTTTATTTTGTCATCATTTTTGCATTGGACTACGATTTGCGAAATATGAATGTGAACTCTCTATCTATGTGTTTTGAAACCTTATTTTTAAGAAAGTTTTATTTACTCAAAAATGTACTTTATATTTATTGTGTATTATGTATGTGGGGTAGAGGGTGTTACACTTTCTCTTTCTCTCTACTTTGTCTATTTTTTCTTTCTCTTTTTATTTATTTCTCTCATTTATCTCTTTTTCTTCTTCTTAATACATCCTTAAGAAAATGTGATTGAGAGAATATTTAATATTTCTAATTCATGTTTCACAATTTTTAAGTCAAGGTCACTATTACTATTTAAGACACAAACTAAACTTGCATTATCA